AATCGAATGCTCAAGGACCGTCTCAATGCGCTGGGATTCTCTCTGGAGCAGAGGCTGGATGGTTCTGACAAGTTACTGAACTACCCATCCGTCAGCCCTGACTTGGCGGCTGGCGGTGGGCAGAGTGAGGGCGGAGCCACCCTGACTTCCTCAGTGGAGGGGTCGGCCCCTGGTTCCTTGGAGGATCTACTCAGTGGTCAACAGCACGGTGGGTCAGTGGACAATCTGGACAGCGAATCCAGTGAGGTCTATCAGGCTGTCACCTCCAGCGACGATGCGCTGGACGCCCCCTCGGGAGCCTCCTCATCCTCCGAATGCGAGTCTGCTCCCAGCAGAGAGCGTTCACGGAGGGGCAGCAGTGGAAATGCCAGCGAGGTGTCAGTCGCCTGTCTTACGGAGCGCATCCATCAGATGGAAGAGAACCAGCATAGTACCGCTGAGGAGCTGCAGGCCACATTGCAGGAGCTGGCTGATCTGCAGCAAATCACCCAAGAGTTGAACGGGGAGAACGAGCGGCTCGGCGAGGAGAAAGTCATCCTCATGGACTCGTTGTGCCAGCAGAGCGACAAGCTGGAGCTGTACGGTCGACAGATAGAGTACCTGCGCTCCTTGCTGGACGAGCATCATGTCTCGTACGTGCTCGAGGAGGACATCAAGAGCGGGCGCTACATGGAGCTGGAGCAGCGCTATGCCGACCTGGCGGATAACGCCCGCTTTGAGAGAGAGCAGCTGCTGGGGGTGCAACAGCACTTGTCCAACACTTTGAAGATGGCGGAGCAGGACAACGCCGAAGCCCAAGAGGTGATTGGAGCCCTGAAGGAAAGGAACCACCAAATGGAGCGCGTCATGGACTCGGAGCGACAAGAACGGGCAGCCATGGCAGCTGCGCTTGAGGAATATAAAGCGGCAGTGAGCAGTGACCAGGCGGAGCTGAGCCGCTGCCGAGCCCAGTTGGACCAGGAGAGGCAGAGGGTTGCTGAGCTCTACTCTCTGCATACAGCGGGGGACAAAAATGATATCTGCCAGCTTTTGGAAAGTGCGCGACAGGGGAAGGAGGAGGCTGAGGCCAAGGCCGCGAAGTTGCAGGATGAGCTGGAACAAGCTCACAGTGACCTTGCCCTACTGCAGGATACTCTGAATAAGGTAAGTTTGACATAGATGAAGGCTAATTATGAAGGCTCCGACTTATAGTCAGTAGTGCCAAGAAAATCCATGTTCATCTTTTACCTTGGTGATTCAAAAATATGTTCTTCCTCCTCACCAGCACGGATAGAAAGAATCTGTTTAACACCGTTGGAGTACGACTAATGAACCCATTGTTGATGTTTTAATGAGTTGAAGTCCGTTTTTCTGTGTGAGCAGCTTGACAGGGAATACAGAGACTTCCAGCAGCAGGTGCAGCAGCAGATGGCTGAGCAAGCGCACGTGCTGGAGAAACAGCGTGTGGAGCTGCAGGAGAAGGAGACGGAGATCGTCGACATGAAGGAAACCATCTTTGAGCTGGAAGACGAAGTGGAGCAGCACCGAGCACTGAAACTACATGACAACCTCATCATCACCGACCTTGAGAGTAAGAACCCTGCGCTCACGCACTCACACACATTGATGCAACATCATGTGTGTGTGTTTTTTGTTTGTTTGTTTCTTACACAGTGTGCGATCTGTAATCAAGGTCCAGCCGACTACA